CTGTTGGCCATAGCCGCTAGCCATGAAGAGCAAGTGAACTCACTCTCTCTTTTCCCAATTTTTTTTGGGTCAGTTTCTCTATTTGTGCGTGTGTAATCCCTACCCCAGGCGCCATACCAGTTTCTCTATCTTCTCCGTATCGCTTCGAAATGATCGCTCCCAGTATTTTCGTTTCAATCGAGAGCCATGCAGACGACTGACGTTACTCGGATCATATCCGTTTCGGCATTTTTTTGGTGTCATCCTTGCGCACGTGCCATGCAAATTAGTCCTCTCATTATTTGTTGTCGTCCCAATGTTACCGGATGTTCCGAAGGGCCGAAGGAGGAAGATGATATGTGTCTTGCTCGTGGTATTTGGGTGTTCCCCCCCTCCCCTCTCGGATAAAGGCTCCGTCTATTTGGGGGGGGGGGGGGGCAGCACCTGCTGGAAATCGGGCCCAGCGTCCCTGTACAACTCAACAGTTTTCTAAACAGATGTGTTCTATGCCCGAATAGAACACCTGTTTAGATGTGTTCTATGCCCGAATAGAACACATCGGGAATAGTAGTGTGTGTCAACTGTTTCCACTCAGTCTGCTGTTGTGTCTCCGACCACCACTAACTTCCAAAAAAAAAAAAAAAGAGGAAGCATCCGTTCGTCCTCTCGTCGTGATCTCCTCTCTCTGGCCCGCAGGTACTGAAGTGACGGTTCTTGTGCGCAGTCTGGATAAGTTTCCCAGTTGCGCAATGTGTTTGAGGGCATACTCAGAACAGGAGCCTCAGGACATTTTCAACGAAATTCTGGACGTGGTTGCGGTCAGATTCATCCACGTCTGCGGCCAGGTGCGTTTACGAAAGTGCTACGTAGTGTGAGCATGCCTTGAGTGTGTAATCCTGGAATGCGCGCTCGGTGGGCTGGTTGGGTGGTTATATCATCATGACGGGAGAAAGCCTCACTCCCTACCTTGTTTCTCCGTCCTCTCCTCTTGTCGTCGTCGATCATCATGATGGGAGAAAGCCTCACTCCCTACCCTGTTGCTCCTTCCTCTCCTCTTGTCGTCGTTGATCATCATGACGGGAGTGAGCTTCACTCCCTCCCCTGTTTCTCCCTCCTCTCCTCTTGTCGTCGTTGATATTTCCCATCCCATTCAATCATCTTGTCCTTCACGCCGTCCTTCGGTCCGATGGTTGCCTTCACACCTTGTAATAAAAGGATTAGCGCAATGAGCATTTGGGAATGCTCTTTTTTTTGTTGTGTGTGTGTGTGTGGGGGGGGGGGGGGGGGGGGGGGGGGGGGGGGGGGGGGGGAGGGGATGCTCTTATCACCCTCAGTAATAGACTCAGCGGATGTTCAAAAAAACGGAAAAAAAAAAAAAAAAGATTAGCACTGTACTTTTCTTTGAGCTCACCAGGGGCCATAACTTTCTTGTGGTATTCACTGGTCAAGGGCGTCGCCGCACGGGAAACGAAACGAGAAACGAAACGCGTGCATCTTCCTGCAGAAAATGGCCAGGTTCATCGGTTTGCTATAAATAGTAACGAGTGTATTTTGCCACCTTTCGTGGGCCGATGCACTCGTTTCGTGTGACGTGCGGCGAGACCCCAAGGCGCCTGCTTTTCCCTTTTTTCTCCTCCCTATTGTTTGATTGCACTTTTGGTACGTTTGTCCGACGCTTTTAACTCTTTGTGACTGTCGGTACGGCGATGTGCGCTGTGGATTCTATGCCTCGCAGATGTGGTATTTTTATCATGACTGGGGTCATCAGATTGCTCTCGCAAGGCCAACTCTGCCCTTTTTCTCCTTTTCTTTTCTTTTCTTTTCTTTTCTCTTTTGCAAGGCCCCGTATCCAGGCGGTGGGTGAGAGAACGGCCTTTTCTGCCAGAGAACGGCGTTTTCTGCCAGAGAAGGGCGTTTTCTGCCTTTTCTACGCTTCTTTCAACAGGTACACGTGAGATAGGTTCTGATAGAATGAGAAAGGCTGATCAGTGATCAAACCTCTCTTTGTTTTGTTTAAGTTTGTTTGTTTGTTTTTTTGGTTGTTTGCGTGTCATCCTTGAGTGCGCAGGGGCTATGCTAATCTTCATTCTCTGTATCGTTCCAGTTTTCTTGGCCGTACTTTTGTTGTTTTGATCATGACCGCTCTCACAAGCTGAACTGTATACGTGGTAAACTGTTCTTTCAATCCTTTCTCTCGCACGAGTACCCTGGGCCTCCCCACACCACTGTGGAAAGGCAAAAATAAATTCGACAGCCTCCCTTCAAAAGTTTGCCCACTTTTAGACACACAGCACTGTAGAATGGACGCACTTCTGAATGCAAGATGAAAAATAGACGAAGGCCCCTGAGGCTGAGGGTACGACAAGCATTAGTGGCTCCTTTCCCACCTCACGCCCACTCTCCAAATTTCGAGGAGAAGTAGCCGGATGATGCGGCAGCCGAGGACTTTGGAAAGCATCCGAGTCGCAGGAGGCTGTGTGGGGATTCCACAAGTTTTTTTCCTTCTTTTTTTTGGGGGGGCAGTACGTTGAAGTCACAGGTATAGTTCTGAATGGGTAAAAACATCAGTACGTCGGCAGGTACGTCACCTCGTAGTTATTAAAAGCAAGAAAAACAGCAGGCCGCACTTGACCCATGGGCCATGTTCCCATTTGGCATTTTTGTCATTTCTGGAGTGGTACCGGCCGGCGGCCGGGTCCATTTGAGTGGGGACATTGGGTCCGGGCCGTTCCTTATCTTTTGGGATACACGCGGGGATGCACTGGACAGCCCAGTCTTTTGAGGGAACCGGTGCCTGGCTGGATAACCCGATCCATGGTGCTACGGGTGGCCAGGTGACAGGAGCCCTTTTTCACTCAGAGGACACACCCCCGACATCCCCGCTGGGGTTGTGGTACTGCCGTGAGTGGCCCTTCTCTCTCTCTCTCTCTCTCTCTCTCTCTCTCTCTCTCTCTCTCTCTCTCTCTCTCCCCACCCCCTCCTGTGTGTCTGTGGTTGCCTGCGAGCAGCTCGTTTCATGAGAATTAATTTTCTGCCAGAAGCGGGAATATTCGTGCCTGCTTCGTGCATCTCTCTCTCTCTCTCTCTCTCTCTCTCACACACACACACACACACACACCCACACACACACACACACATATCAATACGGTCACCCTTTTTCCCTATCCGGATATGTCCAGGGGGCATGCAAAACGGGAATGAATCTTTAGCGAGAACAAAGGAAGATACAGCGCCATATTTCCTGCTGTCATGCCCTGTTTCTTCCCAGTTCTAGCGGAAGATGCGTTCTCATTTTCGTTGCGGATAGATCGTCCCATCTTCCACCTGAAAAAGGGAATATACAACACCATATTTGTTGTTCTGGTGCGTTGCAAAACGAGAAGGAATGTTCCGCAAGAACAAGGGAAGATGAACCTCCATATCTGTTGTTGCTGTGCCATGTATCTTCCCATCGTCGCCTGTTGAAGTAGAAGATTCATTGACATTTTCATTGCTGCTCACCATTCCATCTTCAGGCATAACCAGGAAAGATGCACCACCTTTTCCTTGTTAGGCCTTAAGGTGAAATGGCGGGTTGAAAATGAGAATGAATCTCTGCTAGAACATGGGTAGATACACGGCACAAAAACAACAAATATGGCCGTTTATCTTCCCTTGTTCTTGCGGAACATTCATTCTCGTTTTGGGTGCGTGGTGTTCAAAAGAAAGAAAGAGAGAGAGAGAGAGAGAGAGAGAGAGAGAGAGAGAGAGAGAGAGGAGAAGGGGGGCGGAGGATGCGGGGTGGTGAAGGGGAGGATGCGCGGGCGCCCGGGGGGTGTTCCCTGGCATGCCGACACCAACCACAAGGCACCCTCACCTTTCCTGCATCCCACCTGGTGGTCTACAAAGGTCCCACTAGGCAGGCCAACAAAGTTCCCGGTAGGTCCCTGTGTGGGACCCGCTTTTTCTGATGTTTTTGCCTCTCAAGAACTACGGTTCTGGTAGGGCTGCACACTATATTTTTTCTTGCCTTTTTGAACTCCTCAGATGTTGAAGTTGCGACCCTGTGTTTTTCCTGCCTATTTCAGACTGAAAGTGTGACTCCGGATCAGTTTCCTCTTTTTTTTTTTTTTGTGATTCAACCAGTGCTGTACCCCCGTTCACCGTAGACCGGTCATGGAGTTCACGGAGTTCACGACATGGGAGTTCATGGAGTTCATGGAGAGCGGGACCCGCTTTTTTTTTTTTTTTTTGCTGGGGGGGGAGTGCTTTTTTTTTATAGGAGGGTGGGGGTCATCAGAGGGTAACCCCCCATTTTTTTTCAATTTTTTTTTTCCACGAATATTTTTTTTTAAAATTAAAAGCAAAAAGAAAATGCAACCAGCCAAATAAGCATTTTCGTTTGTTATTTTATAGGTTATTTCCATTTATTTTTTTTGTAGGTTATTTCGTGGTGCAATAAAGCACCAACCTCAACAGGGTCCGTCTCACACACAGACACAGAGAGAGAGAGAGAGAGAGAGAGAGAGAGAGAGAGAGAGAGAGAGAGAGAGAGAATGATTTTTTTCCCCCCCTCTTCTCTTCTCTGCCAGGGCCCTATGGGCCTGGCGGGCTAT